AGCTGGTGGTTTTCCACGGGATTGAGCTCGAATGGATCGGAGCCGACATCGGTGAATCGCCACTTGCCGTCGGATTTGAGAGGGACGACCAATCGGTATGAGTGTGAGGCTGATCGAACGGTGAACCATGTTCCTCCGGGGTTCATGGTGGAGAACTGCCATTCTTTCTTGCCGTCTTTCTCGGGAATAAGTTGGCGGATCATTGACTGGCCCTCGTACATGGGGAGTAGATCGCCGATGATCTTGGCTCCCTGCTCGTCGATGGATTTGGTTTCGAGGAGGAGATCGAGGATGGTGGGGAGAATTTGGGTAGAGAGGATAGCAGCATTTCCGAGATCGATCTGGGGCAGTTTGGGGTGGGCGAAGTATAGCGGCACGTGGAAATTACCGACGTGAGGGGAATGCCAGGCCGTGACGCCACCGTCATTTGGAAGTGATAGAGCGCTAGGAACAAGTTAGAGGGTAGAAGGGTTATAGGATATAGGTAGAACTTACTGGTCACCAGTCATCACAAGAAGAGTTTCGTCGGCAATACCGGTATCTTCGAGAAGCTTCAGGAGATCGGCAATCCACTCATCCTGGTAGTGAATGGTATTTAGGTATCGGTTCAACCTCTCATTCCGTTCATTCGAGACATCCCCCATCATCTCCTTATATTTGCCAGGCATATAATAAGGAGTATGTGTTTGATGTGTTAGGGTGCTAAGGAAGAGGCGAGTGTTGTTCTTCTTCGAATCCTCAATGACATCCCGAAGATAATTTTTCATTAGCTTATCCTCGTGGCCATGCTCCTCCTCCTCTTTTGACTCATTTGGGATATATTTGAGGCCGTCTGCATCGATTGTTCTCTTTGCCATGACATTCTGGAATCCCAGATGAGGAGAAAGCAAAAAGTGCTTATCCCAGGCGTCGGAGTGTGTCTGCATCCACGCAGTGTACCAAGGCCAGGAAGCCCATTCATCTGTCTGATTGGTACTTGTCTCGCTAGTGGTTTTTGGCTGAGCGTTCAATGCATCCATGATGTGCGGTAAGCAGGGCTGGTAAATATCGTGCAGGTACTCGAGGTTAGCCTCGACAGCCATAGGATTCACACCACATAGAGTGGCCGTGAGACTCTTTAGGGTGTAGGTTCCGGACGTGTAAGCGTTTCTCGCACTGAAACCACCATAGGGCTTCGGCTTATCCTCACTGAATCCGGTCTCAAATCCGGTTAAACGTTCGGCGGTAGGGGTGAGCTTAGTGAGCCTCTCCTGGACATCATTGGGGATGCCGTTGGGGTAGGAGTCATGGATGTGGTTCATGATGTAGGAGCTATTGCGGAAGGGCCACACGTCCTGGCGAGTACTCTCCAACTTGACGAGAATGACATGCTTGATCTTCACACTTCCGTTGTGGAGAACCTCACGCATAGGCTCCAAAATGTCATTCTGGAGGTTTGGGAAGTGCAGGGGATCTTTCAGTGGATTGTAGTGTTCATACACATAGTCATCCTTCTTGTGCTTATTTACACGGAAAGGAGACCACTCCGGAAGACCATCTGACGAATTGTACGCAGGCAACCAGTCGAATGTGGGGAAGGAGTCTAGAGCGGTGCGGTCTTCCAGCCAGCTGAAGTCGGCCGGTAACGAGGTGGCACTCGACGGAGCACCTGATGAGGCAGTTGATGGGGCGCTTGTTGGGGCGCTTTTAGGAGGGCTTTGAGGAGGAGCTTGAGGAGGAGTCTGGGGAGGAGTTTGAGGAGCAGTTTCAGGAGCGGCACCTTCGTCCGCGGACGTCGGACGTTCATGAGCGGGCGAATATTCGAGGTTGCTGAACGGCGCGAGAGGCAGGGACTCAGAGAGATAACTGAAATCCGTATTGTGTGGACGAACGAAACTGAGCAAAATTATGATCAAGCCGCACGCTAGGACGATGATGCGCTTCAGCAACGACCGCTTCTTCTTCTCCTCGGGTGGACCTTGGGGTGTCTCGAGTTGCGATACGGAGTCGCTGTCGTTGTTATTCTCGTCGTAGTCTTCGATTTCAATCTGCTGATAGGTCTCTGGATCTAACGGGGTCTTTCTGCGTCGAAGATATCGGCGGAGAGGTGCGAACAAGAACGAAACCCAAATCCCCAGGAAAGATTCGGTAGCTTCGAATAGATATGGTGTAGCGAAGTATGCACCAATCATGATCAAGGCGTCGACGACAAAAGCGACAATGAACGCGGACAGCATAGTCTGGACAGCGGAGGGAGTGTCCTCGGAGGTTTCCGAGTTCCGCCAGGGGATCTCCGCGCCTGTGTGGACGTAATAGGAGATGTTGGCGGAGGCCATCGTGGAGAGAATTAGACTGGAGCGGGATTAGCAATTTGCTGCTTCTCTACGAGTCTGAACGATAGCTCACCTGGAGAAAAGAGCGACAACGGCGGCTACATTTCGCAAGATCCGCGATTCGAATGAACGGGTCAGGCAGCACGCGACCAGAATGAGGAGGATGTCCACCAAAAAGAATGTAGGGCCCCATGGGAAGAGAGATGGAACCTCTAGGGCCGTGAGGTGAACGCTAATATGGAAGCATTTGGACAGAATGAGTGAAATGAAAATGACGGAGAAGAAATATGTGCGGACTCGGTCAAGGTAGAGGTCAAGGTACAGCTGAGGGGTTCTGGCGACGTTGAGAACGAAGAGGGCAGAATCCTCGAGTCTCCTCCGAAAGGAGACATCTTGATTCAATGAAGATTTCATGATGCCAACAACATCCCCTAAAGGAAAGACAGGGAAATGGGGGATGAGGAAAAAGAGAAAGATGATAACTTAAAGTGGAAAATAAAAAATCCAGGGGTCTAATAAGCGGGGCATAATCTTACGGGTGTACTCCGTAGAGTCTGATATGTTGGATACCACACGTGCGGGATTCCCCTGAAGGGTAAATGGTCAGTGCTCATCGGGCGGTAAGTAAACCCCACGAACCAAATCAATCAGATCAATTGACTAAGCAAAACAAACAGAACAAACCAATCGCCACGAGTTGCCAGCTGAATGGGGTAATTAAAAACGTGCCTTTAAGGTTGCCCTCACCCCCTTAATGCCTAGCCCTAATAGCAAATTCATCACTACGGAGTACAGAGTACTCCGTCTCCGTACAGGGTATTTATTTATGAATAGCCGGCTACTTCGTACTAATCTACTCCGTACTCCCATTTTCACCATCTCTTGCTGTCAACCGGGCTTCATGTGCTTCTAACTCCTTGGCATGCATTGCCTGTAGCCGGTTCAGGAATCCGGGACCCACCAACACCGGGGCTTGGCACCATTTTATAGGAAATGATCAAGTCCACAAATCTCCAAGTTTTCTACATTTAGCATGGATACATGTACAAACGGACACGTATGCTTTAACTGCGCAGGGGCAAAAACAAATGCAACATGCTGTGTCTGGCTAATTAAGGGGCGAGGTGAGCACTAGAACAGAAAGGGAAAGCCAAGATTTGCTATGTGGGAGGCGTTCGTGTGAGGCGTTCCTCTTGAATGTCGTCCGAGAGCGCGACTGCTCGACTCGGTTATATTATAGGGGCTATTTCCCGACTCCAAGGGGGTTGGATCAGTCACTTTTCCGCCATAGCTCTACATGGCACGGAGTTTCAAACTGAGTTATTTCTTTCCAAATGAATCGAAATGGCATTCTTTTTTTTTCAGCCTTGTTGGCAAATTGCAAATATATTATTGATCGACATAAATCTAACTATAATTGGCACATTAATACGGGGTATCTACTATTTCAGCCTCATTTAAAATCACCGGGGACATACCTAATATGTCTTCGATTAAGGCAGCTCACAAGATGTGGATCGGAATCTTGTTCCAGGTTGGCTGGATCCGTTGCATGTCTCGATATATCTAGAGGATGTTGCAGGAAGATACATCCATAGCAAATCAAGCTTAAGTGACCCCCCATATATCATAAACTGGGAGTGTTAAGCCTACTTGATGAAGACAGTCTAGACCACCATGGCATCACACAAGTTTCCTCTAGGATAAGGATCAGTTGGTGCCAGGATAAGTTGCACATATTCGCTGCCCTCGTGGTCGTATACACAGGACATTAGTATAATAAGCCTTCATTTCGTCAAGCAAGGTCAAGGGATCATCGAAGACGCTCAAAAGTGGACCAAACTCACCGAATGGCAGAGCCCACTGAACAAGCTCAACCCAGCCAACTTGATTCTCTTTGAAGCTCCGCTGAAGAAAGACTTTGAGGCGTTCCGAGCAGGAGCTGGGGCGTCTTCCTTCCGAAATTTACCAATCCTTATCTCAACCAAACCGCGACCCGATCGCCGTCTTTATGAGACTTGCGCTAAATACTATCATTAGTACCAACCAAATGATCTACTTTACAGTCGGCACCCACTGAGCTTTCGATTACATGGATCACCACGATTTGTTCAGGTTTCTAGCATTCAGTCGGCACCTACCTAATGTAGACAGGGGGAATGATGGGACCTTCCTCATGGGGTCGTTTTCTCGATAGAATCAAGAGACCGGAAATTTTTCCCTTCATCGTATTGCTTTCTCCCATATGGATGATGCGTTGTTGAACGACAGCTGGATGACGCTCACATATTGTAACATTGGCGGTCATAGGTGAGCGGGAATTGTAAGGCAAGAACGTTCGAGAGGATAGTTTAGCCTCTATATGTGAGTTCGCGGTGGAATTTTGTCCCCCGAGGCGAGAGAAATGAATTATTTGGATTGAGACAGACATGCTGATGGGGAAAGGAGGGATGTGGATGAAGGTAAAAGCCACGAGGTGAACAAGTTTGGATGTTGATGAACTGTTCAATGGACTACCACGTTAGGTGGCTCCTTCCTACTTTTCTCGACCTTGGAAGTTGCGAGCTTATGGTAGTGATCTTAATCTCTATAGTCACAGACCGAAAAAATATCACATTTACAAGCTATCTCCTATGGATGTGAATAGACACCATGGAATTTCGTCTCATCTCCCAAACCCAGAACTAATCACTCCATTTCCACGTCCTCTGGACATACAACAGGGAATCCAAGTGCCTCCCTTTTCAGGAGTGTCGCTTTCTTCCACTTAGAAAACTCAGCCAATCGAGTCTCCGATGGCAGATGCCCCATTGTAGCAGTTGGTTCATCAAAGTGCAACTTGGCCAGTTTATCCGCAAGATCCATGGTCTTCAACAGCTGTCCATCCACCAACATGGAGATAGTACCAATTTTCTCATATATGAATGCCCCATACCTCGCAGTATGATATCTCATATCCGTGATATGTTTCAAGTACTGTCTCAAAAAGTACAGAAGCCACTCTGGGCGTGTTTTGTACGCCAAAGCCTGGTCCGTCTCTCCATCGATATCCCACGCTAGGCCATGGTGCTTATCCACCCAGTCGATGTATCCCACGTCACTGGGGGGTTTAGTCGCTCCCTTTCAGCCGCGTGAAAGTCAAGGATGGGATTTCCAAGAGTGGTATGACGCTTTTCATGGGAGGGGTATGGTAGCTCCGTCTCAGCCGAGCGAAAGTCGAGGATGAGATTTTCAACCGAGATATGACGGTTCTTGTAGGAGGGGTTTCCGTAGTCGCTTGTGCGGCCTTTCTTCGCGCCGACTGGTCCATACCGTAAGAATCGTTCCAGGAGGGCGTAAAAAGACCAATGAAATCCGTAGCGACCACCACAGCCTATTTGATCACACGCCTCTTTGGTGGTGATGATGCGTCCGAAAAGACGTATGTCTACGTGGAGCGTAGATAGACGGGTTGTAAGCCGTGGGACTGATATCCAAGTCGAAAATAGATCCAGATCATTTAGAACTGAGATATCAAGGACGTAGGTGGTTTTTCTCATTCGATTGAGAATCGACTGAGTTTCCATCGATACTTGACGACTTGCCAAGAGGAGAGGGAGACTGTTGGACGGGCTATGTGTATCACGTTGTTCATGATAGGGCCTGAGAGGTTCTATATTGGCTTTGTAGTGCATGTCCGGAAAATCCACCATGTTCAATTTGGATGGATATATGGGTGGGGTGCGATGGCCATGGAGTACATCTTCAAAGATCATGACACGGATCTCCTGGGGGAGATCCATCAAGGAAGGCATTGTTGATTATAGACCTAAATGACTGATATCGAGGAAGTTGACATATGCGGGGAGATCAGATCTGACTGATTTAGGGGTTGAAGGTCCCTTATGTATCAATTTATCAGCCTCAAAAGGCAGCAAATCATCAATTTAGCAGCCTATATTTGCAGTTTTACCACTCTCACAATAATTAATCATTTCCCTCTCTGGTCCTTGACTAATTTGACATTGGATGTAGTCATACATCTTCTTTTCTTCTACTGCTTTGCATCTGTTGTGTAACCAGTGCTTCTCATTGTTATAGCTATGTCAAGCAGGAGAGTACACCCATACTGCAAAAATATCAAAGAAACATACATGTACTGATAGCGGTAAAAGAGTTGCCTAGGTCAGTTAGAGAGAAGAAAATGGTATCATTGATTAACATGATATACCCGAAAGTATATGTACACCCTGCGAACAAGGTCAAACCATCAAAGAAACATGCACTACATTAATATTAAAGCACCTACCCCAGATGAGCAGCAAGTCAAACTAGTGGAAACCTATCTGACCAGCTATCTGACCAGCTCCCACTCAGCAACATAAGCCCAAGCCATCCCAACCCGGCCAACCTTCTCCTGGAACTCTTGCGCCGTAACACTACTAGCATCCTTCCGATCCCCAAAGCTAGTCAACACAGCCACCTGCAGCTTCTGACCAGGCGCACCAAGCATACGTGCACTAGGGACATCCACATACCAGAACTCGCCACCGCCCGCGGGTCCGGAGCCTGATACGTGCGTGAAAGGAAGTCTGTCATCCTCGCGTCCGTCCACGCCGTGGATCATAAGCAGGAATAAGCCCGCATGCTGAATGTGGCTGTGGCGAGACAGCGTCCAGTGCGGACAGAGGAGACCGAACTGGAAGCGCATTGCGCCTGGCGTGCTGATGGAGATGCGCAGGCCTTGTGGGTGGAAGGTCTGGCGGCCGATGGTGCGCTTGTCGGCATCGCTATAGACTTTTAGGCCTTCGACGCCGTTTGGTCGTTCTGGGTCCGTGAGGATATATTCTTCCCAGGTTAGATCGGGACGTCCGTCCTCGCGGAAGAACTGGCGTTTGTTTTCTGGGAAGTGTTTCAGGCCAAACTCTTCGTTCGGGATCGAGAACATTGCTGGTTCGAATCGCTGCTTGTATGGCTGTCCCTCGCCTTCTATTGCTCCTGCGCCCCAGCAGGAGTCGATTAGCTTCCACCGGCCTCCGTCGATCTTCACGGCGTTCCAGGCGTGGTTGCCTGCGTATGGGGGCACTGGGGCCCCTGGAGCAAGAGCGTAGTGTCCGAAGCCTTTGCCGTGGCCGCCGACTACTATCGCTTCTAGACCGGCATGGGTAGCTAATGCGGCAAATAGTCCTGCATAGCCTTCGCAGACTGCCATTCCAGATGCCAGAGTACTGGCTGGGGTGGAGGGTTTCACGCAGTTATTAAAGAAGGCATAGGTATCGTAGAAGATGTTATGATGTAACCACGTAAATATCGCGCGGGCCTTATCCGTCATGGATGGGAACGGTGCTGTCAACTCATTGGCCAGCCACGCCATATCCTGTGTCGGAAGCGATGCACGAGGATACCGGGCGGCATGGTTATCAGGGCCTGAGAAGTCCCGACATACCAAGCATTCCGTGTCTGACGTGGGAAGTGGAGGGCTTGGAGACACAGCTGACCCATTGAAACGTGGCTTTGTAGCCATAATTTTGGACAGATCTGGACGAGAACCATGTGGAATCGGTGGTGGTGTCCCATTGGCTTTGGGTGGACTTGTATTACCAAACCCGAACTGCCTGGCATCCTTGATTTGCGCAGCCGTTGGAGGAGGAGGTAATGTCTTCCGAATCGGCAGATTGACACCCAAGCCATCACTGGTTCCATTTATGTCTGCATGTGCTGCGGGTGACGGGCGTTGTGGCAGTCGAGGCACCGGTTCCTCTTCGACCCCATAGGGTGGAGGTGGTTGGCTAGGATTCGGAGACGAAGTAGGTCGCGGAGGCTGCTTAGGGCGAGGAGGTTGACTCGGCCGTGCAGGCTGGCTTGGAACAGGGGGAACGGGGGGTTTGGACCCCGGTAGCGATATTTTGGAGGTCAATCTGGAAGACAGGCTCCCAAAGCTCCTTTTACTACTAATTGTAGGCCGTGGAGGCGGTTCCAAGCTAGCTTGCTCCTTCGGTCGGCGGGGAGGTAGCGTAGGCAGTTCTGTCTCGCCCCATGCAGGCGCCTTGATGCGATTGTTCCCAGTGGAGTTCACCGAGGTTGTCGATGCGCCTCGCCCCGCGGTTCTAGTTGTCGACGTTGTCGAATATGACGCATCGGACGTGACCGACTCAAGGGAGGGCCGGTGCTTTAGGTCCGTCGGCCTACGCGGCGGCAGCGCAGGACGAGCTGGTGTAGGGGGAGGTAGGCGATCAGATCTTCGCGTGGGCAATGGCGGAGGGGCTTTTGGCTTTCGTTTCACTTCAGGCCGGAGAGTTTCCATTGAAGGCGCCTGCAAGACCCGCCGCTGGGTTCTGTCATCTGCGGGTTCATTTCCGACAGACGCTCGATCCACCACAGAGCCAACTGCATCGTATGAGGGAGGGTTGTTGGCTGACGCGCTCCGTTGGGCGTTCGGGCGGAATGATGGTCCAGGGCCTCCCGGTGGGCGGGCCAGTTGCGTGTGGTTAAGGGCGGCGATCCGTTGCTGGATAGAATTCAGCTCAGAATCTTCAGTCATGGTGAGCCGATATTGAGGGGAAAGTCAAGTTGTGTTTACACAAATTCGATTGGATTTCAGGTACCTTGTCCTTGGCTTGGCGGGGGCGAAAGTATGTAGCTTCGGACTCATGAGACAGTATAATCATAAATATGACTTATTGGTAAATGATAGTCAAAATCCCCGCGAGAAATACGAGGAAAGGCCAATGTGTAAGAAAGAGAAAAATAAAACAAAACAGTTGGAGGCTCAACTAGAGAGGGGTCAGCCTTGGAGCGATATACGGAGCAATCCATGGGTCCAGATCTATATTTGGAACTTCAAGGTACGGAGAATATGGAGTACTATAGTATATACATCTACAATAAAGATTGCAAACAGAAGAGGTTTAAATGTATTTTCAGAATATCACGATTCGGACTCCCAAACGCCTTAAGCTGGGCCCTCATCTGGAACACAAAAAAAAAGGAAATAGGTACGTTCAGAGATGAATGAAGGAAGAAGATGCAGCAAAGAAAATGACAAGGAGAAGGGTAGCAGTTAAAAAATAAGCCTCGAGATCTCCAACTGATAGCATGCAACCTGTTCAGAAGAGCCCGAGGCCGTGATACAGACATAAGAAAGGTCAAGTACATCGTTGGAGAAAGGAAAGGGAATATCACAAAGTGGTAGAGCCGTGAGGGTAGAGGGCCAGCGTCGATCATCAGCAGCGTCACTTCGTCCCAATGTACATCATCGTCAGGGCGAACGGGCAAGTCTTAGACATTCTTGTAGAGGAGCAGGGGCTCGCCTACATTCTCGATCTCCGGAATGGTACACTTTAGATCGAATGCCTTGGCTAGAACGATTTTGAAGATCTGCAGTGGGTCAGCATGTGTCCTATCTAACTTGAAGTAAACTGAACAACAGGATATGAACAGCTGCAACGTACCTTTTGCACATTGATGCTGTGGCTGGTGCTGCTAAATATCAGACTAGCCTTCATCGCCTTGGCAAATCGCTTGGCCTGCAAATATGTTAGTTGTTGCAGGACAATAGACGAGGATGACCAAGTACCTGAATAGAGATCTCTTCCTGATCCTCACGAGGGAAGTTCACAAAGTGATCATATTTGGTGCCCACCAGGAAGGGAATGGCTGTCTTATTGAAGCCACGTCCCTGGCGATACCACTCCTTAATTGAGTTCAACGTACTCTTGCGAGTGAGATCAAACATGAAAAGAATTGCAACGGCGTCATTGCAGACAAGTGGTAGCATATTAACAAACTCGCGCTGGCCACCAAGATCCCAAATAGAGAAGGTGATTTCAGTATTGCGAATCGAGATTGTCTTTTCCATAAAGTTGACACCTAGACAATTGCCTCAGTTAGAAGGAACAGAGCTACTGAATGGACGGAAATTCAACTTACCCAACGTCTGAATGTAATCCTCATCCCAGCTGCCCTCGACGTATTTGACCATCAAGCTAGTCTTTCCGATCTGTGCATCGCCTACCATACCAACTTTAATCACCACACTGTTCTTGTTAGCCTGGGAGGCTTGGCGCTGGCTCGAGTCTGGTTGCTGCAACTGGGAAACACCAGGAGCGCGTTCTGGGCCACTGGAGAGTCCAGAACCGGGTCTGGAGTTGGGAACAGGTAGGGGGTGGTGGCTGAGCAATGGAGATGAGTTCTGGCGGGACTGATCGGTATCTTGGGCGGCATATTCAGGAGCAGATTGATGGAAATCGGTCGATCGGGAGTGGTAATGCGCCTTCGAGTCGCTGTTATAGCCATTGTTTATGGCGGCACGGCTGATTGTGTGGTCAGAAGCCGGCTCTTCGATATTGACCATGACAGGTGCAGACCGTTCCAGAGGTTGATCTAGAGGTTGTTCGAGAGGCTGTTCCAGAGCCTGCTCGGGCGGAATCTCCTGTCCCTGTCCGTGTGCTTGCTCCTGTGCCTGTTGCGTCTGATCTTCTGGGGCAATCCGCTCCGATTCCGCAACGACAGGAACAGCGGGCGCTTCCACCCCAGGGGCAGAAAAGGGCTCCAAATTAGGCTTGGGGAACTCCATGACGCTTCAATATCGGTATCGGTGTAGAATTCAGAGATGTAACCTGCCAAACAAGTCCTGATTATCAGCATATACCCGTGGACGTGGATGGAGGATTTCAGGCGATGACTAACCAGTATCACAAAGGGCTGAAATTCCAGCGCAATCTAACGAGATTGCATGTGTATGCGTCAAGGGATTGATTTTAGAAATTTGAAGGAGCCGGGAGCTGTGTTGATCTCGGGAGTTCACAAGGGTTGTCCCTGAGTAAACAGACCGAATTGGGAGGGCGACGAAAAAAACCTAAGCAAAGCAAACAAATGCAGGAAACAGTCTGGAAATGAATGTCAAGTAAGTACTAATTCCTAATAGCAGGCAAATAAGAACGTCTCAGTGCTCTCTCAGGTACCTTCAGCTCGAGGGCGGGCAAGTCGGATCTGACGCTAGTCTACGATAGGCTTAGCGCCTCTCCCACGCTGTTGCCAAAATTTACGGAAAAAAAAAGTTCTTATCGTACCCCCCATTCTTGGTCTCGACACTCTTATAATTAACACATTTCCCACGGATTTCAAGATGTCCAAGAGAAGTGCTGAAGCCGACGAGAATACCGCCGCCCTCAAGGCTGGCGAGCGGCCAATTGCAGATGCCCCAATGGACGAAGCGGGGGAGTTCGAAGACGAATTCGAAGATGAATTCGAGAGTGAAGATGAGATCCTAGAAGCCGGAGTGGATGGTCGCCCAGATGCTGAGCGCGAGGAAGAAGAGAAGGGTGCGCATTCTTTATGGAATCTCTAATTTTGTTCAAACTGGACTAACCTTTTTTTAAATCTTATAGAAGCTATGGACGTTGACAAGGAGACTTTCATTCCTGGACGAACAAAATTGGCTCCCGGAGAGACACTATCGCCCGATCCCTCTACCTACGATATGCTTCACACACTCAGCACACCCTGGCCATGCCTTTCCTTCGATATTGTGCGCGATTCGCTCGGTGATAACCGCAAGACCTTCCCCGCTACTGTCTACGCCGTTACTGGTACACAAGCCGAGGGATCGAAATCCAAGGACAATGAACTCATGGTGCTCAAGATGAGCGGCCTGAGCAAGATGGAGAAGGAAGGCGAGGACTCAGACAGCGACTCGGACGACGACATGGGCGAGCCTATTCTCGAGTCCAAGTCGATCCCGCTTGGCTCAACGACAAACCGCATCCGTACCCACCAGACCCCCTCACAGTCCGGTGATTACTCCAAGCCCCCGCAAACCCTTACCGCGACCTGGCTGGAGAACTCGCAAGTTGTCATTCACGATGTTACCGCCCACCTTTCCAGCTTCGATGTTCCCGGCACTATCCTTCCCCCTTCAGCATCTAAGCCTCTTTCCACCCTGCGCATGCACAAGACCGAAGGATATGCGTTGGATTGGTCTCCGCTCCAGCCTCTTGGAAAGCTGTTGACTGGTGACAACAACGGATTGATCTACGCTACTACTCGCACGGAAGGCGGCGGCTGGGTTACCGATACCCGGCCGTTCACAGGCCACGCTTCCTCAATTGAGGAATTGCAGTGGTCTCCCAACGAGCGCAACGTGTTTGCGTCCGCTAGCAGTGACGGTAGCGTTAAGGTTTGGGATGTGCGATCCAAGTCGCGCAAGCCCGCCGTCGACGTTCAGGTCTCCAACACCGACGTGAACGTTATGAGCTGGTCTAACCAGACTGCTCACCTTTTGGCCACTGGTGCCGACGATGGACAGTGGGCAGTCTGGGATTTGCGTCACTGGAAGCCCAATGCCGCGGCGCCTTCTGCTCAGATCACCTCTACCCCCGTTGCATCATTCGACTTCCACAAGGAGCCGATCACCACCATCGAGTGGCACCCCTCAGACGACAGTGTGGTGGCTGTTGGTTCCGCAGATAACACTGTCACACTTTGGGATCTGGCTGTCGAGCTGGACGACGAAGAAAGCCGCCAGGCCAACATGGTGGACATTCCTTCGCAACTGCTGTTCGTGCACTATATGGAGTCCGTCAAGGAACTTCACTGGCAGGCACAGATGCCTGGTACGCTCATGGCGACCGGCAGCAATGGATTCAGGTATGTTATATTTTTGATAATGATTTATGAACCACGCTAATCCAACTTCGTTCTATAGTGTTTTCAAGACGATCAGTGTCTAGACGAAGAAAATGCATCTACCCTCCGACTGACTCGGGAATTTCATGTGCCATGTCTTGCTCATATACCATTCGAATTCTGTGGATTTTTTGCTCCTCAATATCATTATGCTCGGAGTTAGACCCTTTCCTTCAGATGGTTAGGGTGGTGAACAAAAAGATTTTGTCTTTATATCTGGCATAGTAAATAGACATATTTTTCGCGAAGTTCCCGGGCAGTAGCGACCATATCTAAGAGATATTACTCGGGCCTCTATGCCATCCAGTCAATGAGGTATTATATTCCTCCAGGACCAGATAATACCTCAACAGCGGAATTAGATCCAGACAATTCCGCCAATATCAGCCGAGGCCAGTCTAGGGGGAGGGGCAAATCTGCAATGCAAAACATCAGCAGAGCAAGTGCAGCGGAAAATACCTTACATCAACGCTATTATGCAGTACTTCCACGGATTTACTCAGATACAAACGTAACTCGCTATCCTCGCCTATTTAAAACCCACACCGAATTAGATCAAATGTAGTTAACAGGGATAACCTGCCAAGTCACTGCCACAGGATGGACCGTGCCAGATCGCCAATGCGCCATTAAATACCATAGAATATTGTATGTGACCTATTCCCATGTAGCTTTTCGGTGCGAGTTGGCCTGGGGCCGAGTCGGGTGCGACGAATGTCTGGACCAGTCGGTTCAATGATCCAGGGCTGCGCTGGTTAGTGGCGGGTGGTGTACGGAGTAGCCGTTGCCAATAATTTTGTATAGAGAAAATAGGAAATACAGAATACAATACAACATCTTGTGGAAGATCGACCTTGGCTGTGCATTGTGGCGATGGATGTCTTTGCGCTGTCAATGCAAAAAGACCCACGTTGCTATATTGGATCTTTATTGTATGGATATTTGCCATGGCATATGGAGACTGTGTGGATTCTCTAGGTATGACATGCATGAATTGCAATGGAGACTGTTGAGCGCATTTCAATGTCAGACGGTTGACTGTTGTGCTTGTGTTGCTCGGCTCAAGACATCGGAGTCAGTTGTGAAGTATATTGGCGTGTCTATAGTATACCTCGGCTGTAGCCTTGGGGAGTAGTGTGTATACAGTGGGTGTATAATGTAGTAATTAAAAAGCATACGCGAGGTACCTCACGCTAGAAAATCAATCGATCTGATCGACCGCCTGTGTATGGAAAAGAGTTCAATGCTCCCTCGTCATCGTGCCTGCAATTAATACCACTAATGCACGCCCGTGCCAGCCGGTCAATCACATCAGATCTAACCGCTCTCACGTTTGCGTTAGAAGAAACAGGCTAAAATAGCTCCATTTTTGCGACATCGGTTGTTCTCCGGTCAAATAATCTCTCCGATATCAATTTGTCAGGTCCCTCTTATCGGAGAAAGCGGGTTATTCCGCCTGTAATATAAATGACTCCAAGTTGGAGTAATCCTAAGAATGTTACATCCATGGATACGGAGTACACTAAATATAACATCTTCATGTATCTTAGCGCTGGATAAACTCCAGGACTCGCCACAAAGATGGAAAGCACTGTTCCTGGGTAGGTCCGAGCATACAATTGGCAGCTGTATGATCCGACCTGATACCCACACTAAACTTTGATCGTCCACGCAGGGACTTGGCCAGTCAGACTGCGAGCTAGAGCGCCTGTCCGCTGGGAAATCCGTTCCCGACTATACTACTCTCCAATGTAGTACTCCGTATCCGGAGACATAACTTTACGGACAATATACATCTGCTTTGATAGCAAGGTGCTATTTGTTATCACCAGTACTGTAGTCATAATAATGATATCTAGAAGAAATAGTATCCTGTTATCTCGTTATCCAGGCACACCGGCCGAGAGAACAGTATCAAGAATAATCTGTATCCTCCATGGAGCTTGCGGGAGACCCACTAGCCTCCGTATCTTCCGCTATCCACTATACTTCTATTTGATTTGGATTGTTTCAAATATGTGATTGGACTCGTGTGCGACATTTGACGCCTTGGATTCCGGGTTAACTTTTGTTATCCTGGCATTGGATCCTCTGTCCCGGCGCTGATCATCCGTATGTCACCCCACGTCGTTTTGCCGCTCGATCTGCCCTGGAATGACGACGGTGGACTTGTCGGTTTATTTTGGTACAGATGTAAAGTATGGTCAACTCGGTTGATTCCACCGAGCCATTCTCTATATTAATGGTTTATGGACCTACAAAGATAACCCAGAGCCTCAGGAGATTAAACGGAGCCATGATCAATATCAATATCCAGGATACATCTGATTACATCAATCAGGAAGGCAACCTATAGGTTAAGGTCCAAGCCAATGACACCTTATCTGTATTCTTCACAGATAATGACGGGTAGTGATATCCGGTACAAAACGAAAGGCACGGCTTAAACTCCGATCAGGGGTGTTCCGCCATCCCGCGTTGGTAGGCCGTGACACACAGGGCTAGGATGTGGGCGCTTCGGAGAATTTGTGGGGATATTTTGATTTCTAGAGCCGTTTCGTAATTTATTTATGACTAAAACATAGAAAATGTGTATATATACTCCGTACACGTTGCACGGAGATCCGCGAAGCGCGGTTACGCAATAACGTTTGATGGACTCGATTCATGGCTAGCGCATTTTCAAGGATGCCCCTGTTAGTATACGATGCAGTGTGCTAGTGCCCAAAGTGTACAGTATTATTGCATGGTTAGGAGCAGTAGCGTCTGCCCCTGAGTGTGCGCCCGAGCTCCCCAATGTCTTCAATGTGTTGAGTGAAATCCTTCTTAGGCTGGTATTTACGGCCTGTGTTGCGTAACATTGTATTGGCTGTGTTCGACGGCGAACTGTGTTTGGGGAGTGTTGTACGATGCTTCAAATGCGGTGAGACATGTCTTCGAAATTAAATGCCCTACGGAGTAGTTCATTCCGTCCCAGGCTTTTAGGGTACATTCCATAGCCGGAGAGATCGGATATATTGCTCACGGGGTATCGACATGGTAATTATATTGATGTGGCTGAACTCCCATTTCATCTATAGGTGCATGGACGCCAGCGGATTGGAAATAGGCCGGATACCAATGTTCCTAAGGGGAAACTCAGACCCTTGAGTTGCAGCTTATTTACCTATTCATCCAGATGGATTGGCCAGTGCTATCCTAACAGCCCGGATCAACCCCGGCATCAATAGAGCTTAGAGACAGCTTACTGCGTCAGAGCTGGGGATGGTGGCTTACAACGCTGCCGTTTCATTTGTCGGTCGACAATCCTTGACTCATCTCGGGTCACCTGCAGCTTCCTTAGACTCGCTCTAGTGTGCTAGTTTGACTAGTGCATTGTCAAGTCCGGGGGATTCTGCAAACGAGATGTCTGTGCGACCGAATAATTGCCTACGTATTCCAGATAGGTTTGGACAAATGAGGGACTTGGAAGTTAACAAAGAAGCGTTTGGCTTGTGACTACGTACTTTCCTTCAAGTTAATCCAAGGCTGTGTGAACTTCGAAACACTGGATCGGCCCTCAGATCCGACATCGATCGGCTGCACACCCAATAGAGTGTCCTCGCCTCGTTCCCGTGCGACCAAAACTCAAAACGGCGTGGCGCAACGTGCGCAGTCCATACGGGATGGGGATTCTAGAAAACAGAGGGGCAGATTCCGGGGAAAGCAAATTAAAAGTCTGGGGGAGCCAAGAAAGAAAAAGAAAAGAAAAGAGATTTCCATATACCTTTCCCCAAGGGTGAAATGAGGATAATCCAGAACAGCCGCATGTCCGCATGCGTTGGGAAATCCCCCACACGAACCCTTCTTTTGGCTCTCTCCCCCACAAAAATGGCGCATGGCCTCCCGCTAATCATACCCGAACACTCCGCCTCCGGGATTTCTATGTTTTTCAAAGATTGTTTTCCAAGGTTGTTTCCTAGGCTACAGAGGTGAAGCCTTGGGATGAAAAGAGAACTGAAACCAGATATCAGGTGCCCTACAGAATATATCATACCATTATAAACGTGTATGGGCTTGTTCTCACCCTCGGACCCACTCCGATACTTCCACGCTTACCAATAATTAAAACGTATGTACCTCAATATACGCTATTGAATACCATCATAAATACCATCATAAGTTCCAGAGATTCTAGCCTTGGAATCAAAATTCCGAATTCCTTTCTGAAACACATTCTTCAATTGCATTCCACATATCAAATTAGATGTTTCAAGGTAAAATTGTGCCTAAAAAGGCACAATACTAGTCAAGTCTGGCGTTACGACGCTAATCCTGAAAGGGCAAGTAAGTGGAGAGCAACCAATGAGTATCGTTGATAACCAGAGCCAGGAACTGGTGAACATCCAGTAGACAGTGCGTGTTCATAAGATTTAGTCTATACCGGATTTGGTATCACCCTAGGTAATCGTGGGGGCATTATTGGCAGACAAGGCCAGCCCGTGTGTCTGGGATCCACCATCTGCGCTCTGTATCGGTACCGTCTGCTTGCTCATCTGTCGCTCGTCTGTTGTATGGTTGTCTGGGCCTGACATCGACCTGGGTGATAGTTGCCTCGTATGTAGCTCCGGTGTACCTTTGCCCTCGGACCCCCTTATCATCGGTACCTCCACAGTACTTTTCCCCCGGCCCACTCTCTACCCGCCACTACTGCCACTACCACGGTGTATGTAAGTACCCTGACCCAGGTACCTCGCTCATGTAGAACGACTCTCTGAATACTCAACCTTCGGAGGCAATTTTGAACTTCCCAACTACTTCACCTCTCCTGACATCTTCTTCTTTTCTCCCAACTTCGCTTTCCCACTGTCGTCGTGGTTTCCTTGCTTATCAACAATTGCCTATCAGCACTTCATCGGTTATCTCCGGCTTATCCAACTTCCAAGTTGTGAGATCAATTCCCTTAATGGATGCCCGAGTTTAGAGTATACAAAGTCACTGCTCTAGCTCCAACCGTGTGAGGTGAGTGATCTGGCCGAAGCGCTCATGTCCCAGCATCATCCATGTCCAGTTCGCTGATGTTTCCGACCCCAAACAGACGTCAACACTAGGCTCCATACCCGCCATACTGGCCTCAGGTCCCCCCATATCCTGCAATCGAAACCCATTCAACCCGTCTTTCAGGCACCCAGCGAATCCTTCGATAGACTGTAAATTTCATTTCCCTTATTGGTGGGTCCCGTTCATCCCATCTCACGGCAAGGTTCCTGATAGCCTTGCGGTACCTTGGGTCGTTGTGATAACACCCTCGACGCATCATATGAGACACATGCTGACTTGATGTCATTGGGATGGAACAGTCGTTGATGCGGCACATTGTATAAATTTGAAAAATTCAAATATAGTGCAGACGCGACCTTCGCTCAATCATAAGATTGACGCAACCTCTCTGCCCTTAGCAATTTCCCGCACGTCGAAACTACCCCCCCCTCCGAGACCGGTAGTCAACACTCTGGTCTGTCAGGAGTTTTCTGGGAACTATAATGCTATTGGATGCTATGGTCGGACAAAATCGGGACCATAGCCCAAAAGTGGTGGACCTCGCCAGTATCCACGAAATTCCGGGAAATATGCCTGGTGAGTTTGGCTGAGACAATTCCCTGTGTGCAATTCTTACCCATATATTCTGTAGCTCCAAAGGAGTCAAAGAAACAGACCGACCTAAACGGTCAAACGGGTGTTAATGGCAACATTCCACCCCCTAAAACAGACAAGCCTCGGCCCCACGTCTGCACCACCTGCGGTCGCTCGTTCGCGCGATTGGAGCACCTCAAGCGCCATGAGCGCTCGCACACAAAGGAAAAGCCATTCGAGTGTCCGGATTGCGCCCGGTGCTTTGCTCGGCGCGATTTGCTCCTGCGACACCAGCAGAAGCTACACATGACCACCACGCCGTCTTCTCGACCAAGAAACGGTCGCCGTGAGAGCACCGGCGCCGCACCCGGTGCTAACCGGGTTCGCAAGAACTCCATTGCCAATAGTTCATCTGCTTCGATGCGCCCGAGGGCCAACACTATTAGCCACGTTGATGGGGCGGCATTGGGTATCCCCGGTGCTGGTAATCCGTCATCTGCGCCCACTCAATCGGGTCACGCATATCACCCCAGCCTTAGTTCTTCTGTTGGCTCAAGCATGGATTATAGGGGATTCGGCTCTGGACACCCTTCGATGAACGGCCTTGCGAAGATCGAAACTTCCGGACTTCCCATGGACATGTCTGGAGGCCTTCGGACGGCTCCCGTCTATGGGAGCTTTGATACGGGTATCGATGGTATGCTCATGGGTCACGGTAGCACCATCAACCCAGCGCAATTACACTTCGCAGGATCCCCGCAAGGCTTCAATGATTCACCCTCATCTCCGTTCGGCCACTACCACAATGGACTTGCACCCTCTGCGGATCCCATGATGGATGAAGACATGCACTTTGACTGGATGAACGGGTTTGACACAGGCGTGGTTATGGGAAATGGGAACGACTCGGTTATTGACGAGTCATCGCCATCAGCAATGAGCACGGGTAGCCAGAGCGGAATCAGCGAGGCCATGCTGGATGGCCCGAATCGCATTCCCATCTCCAATGGTTGGCACAACCCGTTCCCTGCGCACCACCCAGCAAACCAGTTCGCGATCGATTTTTCCCCAACGACGTTGAATGATATGGGGATCCCCCCGGAGACGGTGTCGCCCAAGTCTCTAATGACCCATAATCCGTTTTCTGAAACGTATGCCACCCCCCATCTATGACTTCGGTCGGCCAGCCCATCATGGGAGGACATTCGCAGAGTATGTTTTCATCCTCTCTGGCAACCAACGGAGAATCTCCTAATCCTCTCAACCTTCCTTTCGCGAATAGTGCCCTTCGAAATGAACATTCACCAGTCTCAACGGATACATTTACAGACTCCACACGACAGGCTCTATTAGCGAGCATGTCGACCCCCACTGGCTTCAATCATCGCAAGTATTCCCAGCCCGCAAGTGGACTTCTAAACAGTCGCGAGCTGTTCGCCCGCTCGACTGGCTTCAACAGCTCCGGTCAATTGCCCAGCACCTCGGACTTGCAGCGGTACATCTCGGCATACATCACCTACTTCCATCCCCACATCCCGTTTCTCCATATCCCCACCCTCAATTTCCAAGCTCCCCAATACACGAACAACCTGCGCACGCCAAGCGGACATCTCAATCTCAGCTCGACCGGTGTCGCTGGAGGCGGGGGCTGTCTGATCCTCTCCATGGCGGCTATCGGTGCCCTGTACGAGTACGAATCTGCCGACTCCAAGGATCTCTTTGACGCCGCCAAAAAGATGATTCAGTTATACCTCGAAGAACGGCGAAAGGCCGACATGTCTGCTGCTCTCAATCGTTCGCACTCCCCCCGCGATAACTCGGTACACAACACTCCGCTTTGGCTTGTGCAAGCGATGCTGTTGAACGTGATATACGGCCACACTTGCGGTGACAAGACATCGGCAGACATTGCTAGCACGCACTGTGCTGCCTTGGTCAGCCTAGCACGCGCAGCCGAATTAACACATCACCTGGATCCTCAGAACCTGCCTCAAGATCATCTCACTGCTGGTAACAACGGTAATGATTCGCCTAGCGACACAGAAAACTGGATGTCCTCGTCATTTAGCCAACCAAAAGAGCGCCGAGATTGGTTGAATTGGAAGCTTGTGGAGGAGCGAAAACGTACCCTTTACGCTATCTTTGTTCTTTCCAGCTTCCTCGTCTCAGCCTACAATCATGCACCTGCACTCACAAATTCGGAAATCCGACTTGACCTTCCCTGTGAAGAGGACCTCTGGGCGGCTGAATCGCCCCAGGCGTGGAAGCAGATGGGCGGCCAAACAGCCTCGAAGAAGACATTGTTATTTTCTGCTGCTTTAACGTCTCTTCTAACTGCCAGCCAACGAGAGCAGAGTCAATCAGCGAACCTCTTCTACAACTCCGACGATCTGTCGAATTCTGAAAACCGCCCTAGTACTTTCGGCTGCCTGGTACTCATTTACTCGCTACACAATTACATCTGGGAAACCCGACAAAGGCACATGGGCCGACAATGGACCGCCCAGGAGACCGATGCTATGCAATCGCACATCGAGCCCGCTCTACGGGCATGGCAAGCAGCATGGGCCAGCAACCCTGTCCACAGCCTAGAGCGACCGAATCCTTTTGGGGCCGGACCATTGTCTGCAGACAGCATTCCCCTTCTAGATCTCGCCTATGTTCGTTTGTTTGTCAACCTAGGGCGATGCAAAGAGGCATTCTGGCAACGCGATTGGAATGGCATGGCGGATGAGCTCGCACGTGGAACCGATATCTTCCAGCACCCAGATGCGGGAATGAACGATGTTGTCGACCCATCTCTCACAGGTCATCTCGATACGAGACGAGACTCTATTGCCGACCTAGGAGTATCAGAGCTAGCCATATCCAGGACCCCGACACAAGAGGAACCCATGCAGACTTTGTCCAATATCTACAAGATCGGCCAATCCAAGCGTGAAAAGCACCTGCGCAAAGCAGCATTCTACGCAGCGGATTCCATCTCCATGTCGGATCGTCTTGGTAACACCTTTGCTGAGTTCTCGTCGCGCGAACTACCCATCCAGTGCGCGTTGTGTGCTTTCGATTGTGCACAGGTGCTGGCAGAGTGGATCACCACTGTTCAAGAACGGGTGGGCCCCTACCTTGGTGTCCTAGGTCGCGACGATGCCGACTTGACTCAAGTACCTGGAGTCATGCTTCTAGAGGACGAGGATTGCAAGCTAGTGGATAAGATCAAGGATATCCTGGGGAGTATTGAGATGAAAATGCAGCGCCAGGTCCAAAATGGCAACTCCATATCCGCGCTGAGCGTCGTGCAACGGCTACCCAGTGTCGTGGAAGGGGGATACGGATGTAAAATATTGATTGCGACAGCTAGTCTCTTGGAAAGAGCTGCTGTCTGGCCAGGTTAGTTTCAGCAAACCCCCCAAACCTCCACAAACCAGAACCATTTTCTAACACCCACCCGCAGTGACGAAACTGATGGCCCGTTCTCTGGAAGCCCAAGCCATGCGAATGAAGGAGCGTACTGAGCACTCCGTGATGATGACCACTTAATGCCCCTCTATTACCTTGTTTGAATGTCCAATGTTTGATCCATATTTATTTCCCCCATCTCCCAACTCCTCTTTCCCATTCGCGCGCCCGTGTATCATGAATAAACAATCCAAGGCAACCCATCCCATCAAAGCATGTGTATCTGCACCAACAACCCGTACCCGTTCCCCTCGATTGGCTCTCTCGCACCATGCGTACTGCCTTTGATACCCTGCTCTGAGACTTCGATTCTGTGTCATAGACAAATTGCCTGCTCATGTCATGTCATCTTTTCCCGATTGCTAGCGTTCATGCTTTTGTTTGTACCCCCCGACTGGTGTCCTTGCTGTGGTGTGATGATTGAATGGAGAGTGGCTTTTTCTCGCTTTTTTCATCTTGCTGTCGAGGTTGAGTTCTCATTCTTTTTTGCCTGTGCGGTGTTTGATTATCCAGAGTTTTACTTCGTGTGAATATGATTTGCCTTCTCTTAAAGGGTTGTTTGTTATAGTAGTATCATACTACTACTACACTAGTATGTAGACAATTAGAACAACTATAGCTCCCTCATGATTTTATGATGGAAATTGCCATACTTCTAGTAGAATTCACTGCTTTTGACATTCTAAGTAGCTTTGGGGTTAGCATTTTGCTTTGGGTTGAAGAGTATGGAGTTCTATGTAGCTAATATGCTGTTTACTTTCCAAAAAGTCCTCTTGGCTCCGATCCCGGGGAATAGAGATGATGACATAATATTTCCCCACCGCAACCCATAGCTTGCTGGGGCATCAACGCGTTAAGTGGTTTTCGCGTTAAGCAGACTCATCTTTGGCAGGTATTGCCTGGTGTCAATCGCATACGGTCAATCTATCTTTGCACTGGAAATGAATACAACCTCCCAGTATCCGTCTCAAACCCCTCCATCGCAGCGTCCGACTGCCTCGGCTTCTCCACCCAATTAAATCCGCTTGAAGCTCAACCCCGATGCCCTATACAAGGCCCGTCTCCCCGGTCTCCCTCGAAACATGCGTGCCTCCGCCCGACGAGCTAGATCCAGATGACCTGCTCGCCTCGGACGACGAGCTGGATGATGCCGCCCGAGTTGCAAAGCGTCAGCGGGTCGAGAAGTTAGCAGAGTCGTATCTCCAGGGCAAACAGCTGCTGATTCTCTCTGCTTCGCTGCGAGGCCCGTTCAATGAGGGATGGAACAATCCATGGAAGAAGAACAGGACACGCGGGACTGGCACATCGGCGAGGGTTTTATTGAATCGTCAAACAAATGTCCCTGAGCCGATGGTCCAAGAAACTGATTTGCGGGCTCCGAAGTACCGAGAGAGCCTATCGGTTAGCACACGTCGTCCGGAGATTCCTGCGACATCGTGCAACTCCCCTGGAACCTCGGTGCAAACTGGAGACCGTTCTTTGCCCTCTAAATCGCCGCGGAGGCAACCCAAGGAGCCCACCCCGCGCCCCGGACATGGGCAAAATGGAGCATCACGACGGTTTACCACAAAATCAAAGGAAACGCCGTCGTCAGCAGTGGATGATCAGTCAAAAATGCCGCCTAGGACAGCAGACTGGCTGAAGAAGGATCGGAAGCTCATAAACTTCACCAAGTTCGAACCGCCGAGCTCGCCAACAATATCAATTGCTTCTCGTCAGTCAGATAAACCTCGTCGACCGTTTCCTCGCTCTGTTCAAGTCCAGGTCCCACAGACGCCGGGATCGCCAATAAAATCTCCTGTTAAAACCGTCCCAGCGAAGACAGCCCAGAGTGCTCGTGCCAACTCGAACGGGCACATATCCCCACGGTCGACTTCAGCCGCCTCAAATTCTCCCAAAGTCCCTGCCATTGCAAAATTATCACCGTTTCAACAATATCAACAATCTCATTTGCCACAGGAAGCATCTCTCCGAATCGTTAATTCTTCCTCTCAGCTGCCGAGGTTTGAATATCGGAGGTGGCTCCGTCAACATTCTAGTCAACAGGAGAAGACTTCTCCTATGCAAGATGAGAGCATTCTGCAAGAAGAGACCTTTTTGCAGGAGGACAGCCCTCTGAAAGAAAAGTCCATAGTCGATCCCGCACCCGCCAGGCCTAGTCCCGCTAGGGATCAAGTGTTGGAACCTGCTGAACCTGAACCTTTGGCTCCTGGGGAAATAACAGTCCACAATGAGGACTCCATAACGAAAGATGCAAGCCACAAGTCTTTGTCGAAAGAAATCAGGTTCGCAGATGAGGAAGATGTCATAGAGGACAATCTTGCGGTGGAAGAGATCGTAGTAGAAGGTGCCGATGAGGGTGAGGCCGCGGCAGAAGATGTTGCAGACGAGGAAGATACATCGACATTCCACAACACAGATCTCTCTGCACCAACCGAACCGAACACCTACGATGATCTCCCTTCTGCCCAACAAGTGCTAGCGCCTTTGGGGGTTTCAGATCGGGTAACGTCATTACACTCGACGGCTTTGCCAAGAGGAGATTCTGGACCAGATCTTCAGCCAAGCCCTGATACCCAGCTGTCGACCCAGGCTGCCCTTTTGCATGCCCAGAAGTCTTTTCAAGACGACCTGGACAGTCCAGAATATTACAATCAACATACACCGGATCCGGACCGGGCAGTCCATTCACCCAATGCTTCACTTCACTCAGCAAATGTCACTCCATTCTACCGTCTAGAAGAGTCGATTCGACGTGATCTAGAGCGGGGTTCTAAATCCATGAACAAGGATGGGATGCAAGCAATGAGCACGCAATTCATGCTTGATGCAGCCACACCTTTCAATTTCAGCACTGAGCAAGCTGGTCAAGATCGGAGCTTGAAACCTACGAACAGAAATATGATGCAAGCCTTGAATACGCAGTTCATGCTTGATGCAGCTACACCCTACGTTTTCAGCACAGAGAAGAGACAGCATACATCCCGGCCAGACTCAGGTTCTCCTACAGCCAGAAGCTCCAAGAGAAAAAGGACGGCCAATATCAGAAGCCCATCCCCTCCTACTAGGAGTCAATCAACACCTCCCGACAACGAATATCACACTGCGGACTCCCAATCAGGCGAAGAAGAAGAAAGTCCACGATCAGTGGCCCAACAGTTGGATCATCAACCAACTTTCCAATCTGCCACAGAGGTCGCGTCCTTGCCCCTCACACTAAACAACTCGACGCCAACGACAGGCCAGGATGGACAAGGTGGAATAGAGAGTTTCAACCTCAGCCAGGCTATTGCAGATGCTGGTAGTTGGCTTCAACAAAGCTTTGATTTCATGAAGGACAGCGGCCGCCAGAGTCAGAATCTCAAGGCAATTCCTACTTCTGATGCGCATCCATCCCCTTTACACATGGATCTATCTCAATAACGAGAGTTCCTTGATGCTATTATGACTACCCTTTTTTACTTCTTGTTCTTTCCATTTTTCTATCCATCATGCATAGCGTGTTGAAATCTCCTTGGTGGCCAACTTGTTCGGCTCTCATATCTGTTTTAGGATATATTGGTGCATTTTCAGCAATACATATTGATTATGGTAATTACAAGGTTTACATATGTAGATTTTTAAAAAAATGCTACAAATCATACTCGAAATGAATTATTGGAGTAAAGTAGAGAACGTCGCCGTAGATACGTCAGGAACCAAGTGGCCCGAGCGCCAGCGGGGAGAGCTCCGAACATCACCTTCCACACATCTCAATCAATGAGCCGAGATGGCGCTGACATCAGTAAGAGGTTGACATTTCCTACTAATGGATTGCAGCTGACCAAAGCAACAGTGGAAAGCATTCAACTTCATCGACGTGTCGCCGGTGAAGCTACCAGAGGACAGCTCCTCAATCTTCAATGTAAGGCCTCGACCTTTCTCTACTCCAGCCGCGCCATATCTAACAATGAACCCTAGAGTGACCTCTCGAGTATCTGCACCGGCTCCGCGAACCTCTTCGTCGGCACTACCGATGGCCTCGTCCACATCGTCTCCTCGGCCTTCCGCGTCGTGCGATCGTTCAAGGCCCACGATACCGGCTCTATCACCCACATGCGACAGATAAACGATACCGCTCTACTCGTCACCGTCGCAGAGGATCTTTTAAATGAGCCAGTTCTGAAGGTCTGGGCGCTAGATACGGAGAAGAAAGATGGTGGCCCGCGGTGCCTGTCAACGGTCTCCGTTCAAAACGCCAGGAGACAGTTCCCGGTGCGTTTGCATCTGAAGCGAGAATAAACAAGGTCTACAATTACTTACAGTGGTATAGATATCGGCTTTCGCAGCCGTCGACGACCTCTCGCAGGTAGCAGTGGGTTTTGCGAACGGCTCCGTGACGATCATCCGAGGCGACCTAATCCACGACCGAGGCGCGCGACAACGGATCGTATTCGAGTCCGAGGAACCGATTACCGGACTTGAAACGCAAATCGGCGCCGTCACAACCCTCTACATTTCAACAACGAACCGCATCTTGACATTGGTCATTGCCGGGCGAGGACAGGGCCAGCCTGCGCGTGTTTTGGAAGATACAGGATGCGGATTGGGTTGCATGACTTTGGATAAAGAGGGAGGGGATATTCTCATCGCTCGGGAGGAGGCGATCTTTACGTACGGTCCACGTGGTCGTGGCGCGAGCTATGCGTTCGAAGGCCCGAAAACGTCTATTGATGCTTTTCGGGACTATGTCGCTCTCGTTTGTCCGCCCAAGGCTGGGACTAGCAAGTCGGATCCGTTAAGGAAGTACACTGCTAGTCCGGCCGAGGAGATCTTCGGCACGACCACGTTCACTCTGCTGGATACTGATCTCAAGTTCATCGCGCATAGCGAATCGCTGGTGTCACCCATGAAACGTATTTTCATGGAATGGGGTGACTTGTTTCTTCTTACGACAGATGGCAAGGTATGTGGATTCTATACTGTTGTGTTTGGCTCTATTTTAACCCGTTTTAGATCTTCCGTTATCGGGAAAAGACCCTCCAGCAAAAGCTCGAAATCTTATATGAGCGCAATCTTTACATCCTTGCTATTAATCTTGCGCAAAAGATTGGGATTGATCCGCTACAACAGAATGCCATCTACCGCAAGTATGGCGACTTTTTGTACCAGCGAGGCGACTATGATACCGCTATGCAGCAGTATCTGCGGGCTATTGATAATACTGAACCTTCTCAGGTCATTCGCAAGGTCAGTGAGGGTGGAGATTCGGCATTGTTTTCTTGCTAACCTTTGCTGCAGTACTTGGACACCCAACGTATTCACAACTTGATTGAGTATCTTGAAGAACTACACGACCATGGCCGTGCCACGGTTGATCACACAACGCTTCTTTTGAACTGCTACGCAAAGCTCAAAGACACAAGCAAGCTAGACTCGTTTATTAAAGCTCCTGGTGAGCTGAAATTTGATCTTGAGACTGCCATTGCAATGTGCCGTCAAGGCGGATACTATGAGCAAGCAGCCTACCTCGCAACTAAGCACGGCGAGAATGACATGGTCGTTGATATTCTAATTGAAGACTCTAAGAAGTATGCCGAGGCAGTGGAATACATTTGGCGGTTGGATCCCGAAGTGGTATGTCTCAACTGTGTTATTAGGGAAAACAAGCTAATCCGTGCTAGGCCTACCACAATTTGATGAAATACGCTCGAGTATTGCTCACACATTGCCCTGAGCGGACATCAGAGTTGTTTAAGGTTTACTATTCTGGCCAGTACCGTCCACGCACGGAGGTAGAACGGCCATCAGAACCCCAAGAGCAGACGACCAGCACAGTGCAAAGTCTTGCTGCGCTTCTTCCTTTGCGGTATATGCATGTTGGCACTGGCACACAACAACCGGCTGAAATTCCTGAGCCGGACACCAATGAAGACAAGCTTGAAGATACTCTGCCAGATTATGATGTTCCCAAGCCGCGAACAGCCTTCTCTGCATTTGTGGATCACCCCAAAGAATTCATCGATTTCCTCGAGACTTTGGTGCAGCAGCCGGATTTGAAGAAGGACGCCAAAGTTGATCTTTTCACTACACTGTTTGAGATGTACCTAGACACCGCAAAGGGAAAGAAGGATGCAGGCGAAAGACAGGAATGGGAGACAAAAGCCAAGAAACTAATCGAAGGGAAAGACGTGAGTTATCCAGTTGCCTACTTATCACTTATATCTAACCCATATAGATCCCGATCTCCACATCCAACGTGCTTCTTCTCTCCGATCTGTCAAATTTCAGGGAAGGATCTACCCTCGTCCGCGAGCAAGAAGGTCTCCGCCTCGACATTTTCCGTTCTTTTACTTCAGCAAAGGATACACAGGGCGCCATCAAAGCACTCCGCCGGTACGGGCCTGACGAGCCTCAACTCTACGTTGACGCATTGACATACTTCGCCTCAAGCCCGAAAATCCTCCAAGAAGCAGGCGACGAGCTAGACGCAGTCCTGCAGCGCATCAACCAAGACGGCCTCCTCTCCCCATTGCAGGTGATCCAAGCGCTCAGCAACAACGCAGTAGTAACGATGGGCCGCGTGAAGAAATACCTCAGCGACAATATTGACCGCGAACGGAAAGAAATCACCACCGTAAGCTCCCTCAACATTCCCCCTTGTTCATCGAGCACCAAAATTAACCTCATTACCTACCCAGAACCGCCGCCTCATCACAAGCTACAAATCAGAAACCGAAGCCAAACAACAAGAACTAGACCACCTAACAACACAACCAGTAGTCTTCCAATCCCGTCGCTGCCAATCCTGCGGCGGAACCCTCGACCTCCCAACAGTCCACTTCCTCTGCAAACACTCCTTCCACGAACGCTGTCTGAACAGCCTCGACGACGATGCGCAGTGTCCCGTTTGCGCTCCGACAAATGCAACTCTACGCGCTATCCGACAACGACAGGTTGATTCCGCGGACCAGCATGATTTGTTCAAGGGGGAGTTGTCTCGTTCGCGGGATCGATTTGGGGTTGTTAGTGAGTTCTTCGGGAGGGGTATTATGAGGCCGCAGAGTACTATGGAGTAAGATGGGTGGAATGGATTGCACTTAGTTTAGATACGCTTTGTTTTTTTGGGCTTGTTTTATATGGAGCTGGTTTTATTCGTTTGATACCTCGATCTTTGTCAATTAGATCAAGTTGTTTCTCTTACTGGTAATTACGGTAGATGGTAGGGATAGAAGCTGTTCTTTACATGTATCTATAATTTCTTCTGACGTTTACCAACGACTGTAGACATTTACGATATGACAAGCACTTGGAAGAAGGACTTCAAAAAATAATTGAGGATTATGTCCATGTAACGAATGCATTGTTTAATTGAACTCGCTTCGCTCTAGCAAGTAAAAGCAGTGAGCCGACAAAAATGAATCATATAAACACGATAAAAATGAACAAGTCGATCACAGCAACCAAGCAAGGTCATTACATGCAAGAGCAATTAATATGCACAGCGGATGGATGAGAAAATACATGAATATAGTCGAAGCAAGGAGTCAAAAGAATAGAAACCGGGTAGATAAATGTCCAGTATTCACTCGGAGTCCGGAGGAATGCGATGATGTCTCCTCTGTATGGCCGAGGATGACGATTAAAGACCCAGAACCAGAACGGAATAGACAAGACAAATCGAGACATTTCTATCCGATTGACTCTTTGATATAGCGAGAGGTATTGGTTGAAAGAAACTCGCTTAAATGTCACGTCCCTTCTCGCCTCCCCAGGAAACACGCGGGATTTGTCGGGAAGTAGACTGGGAGCCAGAGCCGGATCCAGATGGAGGAGACTCGTCAGATCGCTTGTGGTCCTTGTCATTCTCGTTATCCTCAATGTCCGAGTCTTCCTCCATAATGGCGTTATCATTATCATCCGTCTCCGAACCATCATCGTTCTCAGAATCATCACCGTCCACACCTAGCGCGGCCAGACGACGGCGACGCTCGGCTAGAGTCTCGCCTGTGTCATCGTCAGCCTGGCGCGGGGGCGCGCTCAGACCAGCGGCTTGACGGAGACGCGAAGGTGGGATACGCTCTGTACCATCGTCGTCGGAATCACGGCGAGCACGGTCCCGGATACGGGGTGGTGCAGGGCTGAGGTTGTTGCGGCGTTCTTGGGCGGCGGAGGGACCACCGCGACGCGAGAACTTTGCCAGTGAGGCAGCCACGTTAGGGGAACCGTGTTGGGCGCCAGGCTCGTCGTCACTAACATCGCTATCGGTGACGGATTCGGACTCCAGAGCGTCGGTGTCTTCTTCGGGGATGGCGCTGGTGCCGGCGGTAGCAGCGGCAGCGGCAGCAGAAAGGCGGCGCTCTCGCTTTTCCTCGGTTTTTGCTTCTACTCTGGCTTCGTGCCGGGCCATTTCTTGAACTGGGGCTGGTGCGTCGGTTTGCTGC